CAATTATCCACGTTTTTTTTTTTTTTTCTTTTCAAATGTTGAACATGATCCAGTGTGGCGCCTTTCACCGAAAACGCCATGCGTCGCACAATTATTAGAAACATTGATTAGTGAGATCCATGTGGCGAAAACTAATTGGTTCGCTCAAATAGGCGGACACGTCTTAACAAATAATTGGAGCAAAAAAAAGAGCTCACCTATGTATGAAACACTTGATCACGCGCAACCCCAATTAGTAACCGACAAACGTACCACGTGTCGCTCTCTCACTAGCCAGAATGAAAAGTGGCGAGACCCACACGCTGCCACAGTTGTCGTCGGCCAACCTTCAGACACGTCTCAACTGCGCGTCTGTAACACTCATTTTTCTAACTGACAAATTCGTAGAAATAGACGTTAGGAATTAACTTAAATAATGTTATGGCATAAAATTAGTTAATTCTAACATCACGTTGATTTATATTTTATAGGTGAACGCGACGAGAACACGAGGTGTTAAGAACAAGTTCATGCCATGTTATAGAAATTATACATATATGTTCATTTTTTTATGATTTGATAAATGAATATATGTTCATCATATGATTTACTTCATGTTATATTGCATGGAATTAAGTGTCTTTAGGAAAATTTTACGTTTTTTTATTTTTTTCTTCTAGACAAAAGAATCATTTCCATTATGTTAATTTCCAGCTCTATTTTGGACCTTTAAAATTCTGAAATTATTCCTCTACTTTATAGACAAATGTAGAGTCTTTCATCAGCTTTCCAACGCCTACTCATTTGCGCAAATCGGACATCGGAATAAGAAGATATCACCAGTATACGATGCGGATATTCAGCAGTCTCCGACCAGGTTACTGCACGCGAATAAGAACGGAAATTCTAAAAGTTGACCTAACTCTTGTATTTGTCTTCCACACGATTTTACACCCTAATGACAGCCATTTCTTCAGCTGTTAAGGGTCATTTAATCAAAGAATTAATCCTCAAATTAATGCCAAATCTTGAGTCAATATGTATTTTCAACTCCTATGTGTACACACACTCTCTCTCCCTCTCCCTCTTTCTTCTTCTTTCCCTCGCGTTTAAAAACGCCACAGAGAGCCTCCAAGCCAGCCATCAAACCTCCATTATTCTAACCTTTTTTTGCAAACCTTTAGTTCTTCCAAGCCACAATCAAGAAGATTTCAAGGTATGTTCCATCTCTAATTTAGTATTCATGGTTATTAGGTGATTTCCTTTGGTGTTGGCTGTTGGTTTAAGAAGATTATGAATAATTTTCTTTAGTTGACGATTGAGGAAGGATATATGTGATTTAGGTGAGATTTTAATGTCCATGGCTGCACGCTTTTATTTTGGGATAATCATGTATGACCCGGTTATTGTTTTGAATGCCTTCATAATTTGATAAATTCTAGAGTGGCATGTTAGGAATTATGTTATTTTCTTATATTATTGTTTCATTTTTTCCTTTTTATGTTATAAATTGTGATTTCATAGAAACATGAGTTAGCATAAACAACATCGCAACAAACTTTCCAGTCCCAGTCAACATTTCCAAAATAAAGGACAACAGAAAAGGTAAGACCCAAGTAGCTGCTGTTACACCACAGAATGTTCGATGAGGAAGGCCGATACTTATTGAAGATCCCTTGCTGGCTCGCTCTTATGAACGAACCACCTAGAAATTTCACTTCCTGGCCAGCAAATCTCAAAGTCCACCTGTGTTAACATGGATGATAGAATCATAATAAAAAAAGTTGTAATCTCCAACAACACATGGTGATCCAACCCATCAAAAGAAACACGATCAAAAGAATCATCAAAGCTGAAGATATTATGAACTTAAATTCCCAAGACACATTGACCACTGAAAGAGAGAGCTCAGTAGCTCTCAGTACACTTGAAAGACAAAAAATTCATCATAAAATTGCAAGTCATATAACACCATACATCATAAAATTGCAAGTATGACAGAACTTGATATCAATTAAACCCCCTTTCTAGAGTGCGGGTCTAGGAGAATGCATTTGAAACCGTAATATCGGCGACGCTCCTCTAGTGCTGCTAGCACATCCCTGATCATCTTTACTACAAAGTTGGTATCATTACGCAGGCGGTCTTATCTCGTGTAGGGATGTAAACGGTTTCTAACCTTTCTCGAAATCTTCATAGAAATAGATGGACACTGCTCGACCTTCGTCATAGAAAAGGGGTCTCTCCAATAACTCTGTCTTGAAGTGACGTATGTAGATCTCAACATCCTCGACACGCATGGGTCCCCATTCATCAGTCAATCTGAGGAAGTATCATGTTCAAATGTCACTGCCTAATATGACAATCTCTGTGGAGGTGCCTCCGCTGAAGGAAAACCAGCGATAATGCTGCGATAAAATTCATCCCATGTCAAATCTTGAGGGTCTCTCCCAGTGATCTCCCACCAGATGCGACGTCATTGACAAGCTGTCCTACGGCCAACCTCGTCTAGGATTCGATGTCAATATCACAAGTCTAGAATCGGCTCTTGTGAAGTGTTACCAGTTTCCTAAATTATGTCGACTCCTAGACAGGGTTGCCATAGGACTGCTCGTCGACGATGCTCACATCTAGTGGGAGAACACCGTGAGAGACCCTCAGGATATGACATGAGATGAGTTTTATCGCAGCATTAATGTTTGTTTTTCTACAGGGAAGGCACCTCTATAAAGACCGCCATATCAAGCAGTGACAATTGCACAGGCGAGATACTTCCTCAAATTGACTGAGGAATGGTCACCCATGGTGAGGATGCTGAGACCAACATGTGTCGCTTCAGGATCGAGATGTTGGAGAGTCACACCTTCCCTGTGTTGGAAGACGAGTAGTGTCACCTCTTTTTGCGAGGACTTCCGAGAGAGGTTAGGGACCGTTTGCATCGAGCACCCTACACAAGCCTAGACTGCCTATGTATTGATACCTATTTTGTTGCAAAGACGATTAGGGATGGGCTAGCAGCACTAGAGGAGTGTTGCAAACGTTACGGTTTCAGACATGTTCTGTCAGACCCTCGCCCTAGAAAGGGTCCGCTTCACATTAGGTACCATTGGACGATTCAGAGGAGGATTCCAATGAAGATTCATACCAAGAGGAGGACCCAAGTGAGCACCAGAGTGGTGAGGGCTCCATGGATAAGTAGGAGAAGTAGACATTTGACCTCCAGGGCTCCATGGATAAGTAGGAGAAGTAGACATTTGACCTCCATAGTAGGCCGTATAGATACAAACTTTAGGATCACTGGCCGTGACCTTCTGATATCTTCTTATTTTGAATGACTGCACTTGTTATTGAACTTGTCTAATCTTTTGGGACTCAATATAGCTACATTATAGAGTGTATGTATTATGACTCTTATGGGCATTTTATGACTAATTCTAACTTGTATAGTTAACCTTTATGTAAACTACTTATTATGATCTATGGACTATGGTGCAATATGACTTGATATGCAATGTTATGATATTTTATGATATAATTCAAAAAAAAATTCCCTAAAATTTTTGTAAACAAGAAAATAAATTAAGTAATTACGTTTAAGTAAGTTTTATGACGCCTCAAGAAGTCGGATCACCACGACAACACTTAGAGAAGCCCGAGCCTAATCAACAAGGTACTCCAACAACTTGATCTAACAAAAAAATGAGGTTGATTGTTAGAGAAATATGTTGATTAAATTGTTGAACATTCTATATACATGTAAACATAAAAGAAAAGTTGATTGTCAGAAGTATCTAATGCTAAGATCAAATTTTTGAAGTTTTGAAGTTTAATGACCAAAGTGTTATACAGACTATAGGAATTGGCAAATGTAATTTTGAAAGCTGGCTAGAATAAATGCTAGTAAACTCAATCGTAAGAATTGATGAATATTTATATGTCTATGTAAGCAAACATAACAAAAGAAGATAAAAAAAAAATTATAAATTACCTCTGACGGGGAAAAAAGATTTTATATTCTAATTCTTTTAGGGAGTGATTCCCCATCTTGATCTTCTTCGTCTTCTGCTTGCAGTGATTCAGAATGAATGCTTTCACCTCCACTTGATTCAAACTCAATTTGTTGTACAAAACCAAATCTCTCTGCCTCTTGGGTATATAGGAAGTGGATCCCACACCCCTTTATTTTTGCAAATACCTGACTATCTTCGCACAAATCAAATGAAAATGAGGCTGTAGCAGTACGATTGATTCCATTATTCCCATTTGCATCAAAACTTCTTTCGTCTGCTTTAAGGTAGTTACCCCATTCCCTAGAGTAAATGGATAAATCAACTGTACCGGTACAAGGGGACTTATTCCCATTTGCATCAAGTTGCCCATTTTTTGATGTGAGGAACTCACCGTAAGTGTTGTCCACAAACACAAACACGTATGCAGACTTCAGGGAGTCATCAATATTCTTTTCGAAAACTTTACCATCAAGAGTACAAGAACATTCACTAAAAGAAGCCTTACGATATACATATGAGAGAGAGAAATCCATAATTCTTGTCTGTTTCCATGAATCGCCATTAGGGAACATGTAAACAGAATTCCAATAAACTACTAACGAGAGAGGTTTAGCCGTCAAAAGGATGTCATTGAACCCAACAAGAACGCAAGCGGCGAGACCTAAGTAGCTGCTGTTGTACCATTGATCAGGATGAGGAAGGTGTACACAAATTGAAGATTCCTCACTCTTGTGAATGAACCACCTTGGAATTTCCCATCCTGGCCAACAAATATGAGTTCCACTCTGTAGGTACGTAACATGGATGAAAGAGAGCTATTATTAGTTTAACAATATTTCCACCAGAATCTTTAGCGAAAAAAGAAAAAATATATATATTCCCACCAAAATTTTAACTACTACTTCAGAAATATTCTAGATATAAAAAAGAGGGAGACATACCCGAAACAACCTGTAATCAACATCATCATCGTCGTCATCATTGTAGTCGTCGTCGTCAACATCACCACAAAGGGGTCCATATTTAGAAAATAAAGTTGCGAAACGCAAAACTCTATACAATGCTTCATCCATAAGAACTTTGCGTGCATTCTCATCCAACATTTCACAACCCAAAAATCTAAACTCTTCCCACTTGTAACCTCTATCGTAGAGATCATCCCAATTTTGTTTCACCAAAGGCATTAAACTTGACACAATCTTCAATGAAGTGCAGCACCTGGCATCAAGAACTGATAGAGATGGAGGAAGTATTGGTAGTGATTCAAGTTTTTGACAGAAAGCAAGGCGTAGTTTTTGCAAAGAGCTTAAGCTATGGATACTGTCAGGGAGAAACTCAAGATTTTGGCAAAAATTCAGGCTTAATATTTCAAGCCCAGTTAAATTTTTAATTGACAAGGGTAGCTCTTTAATCGCTGAAAAATCTAATTTAAGAGTCTTTATAGATTCCATAGGCTCCGAGATTTTTGGAAACTTTTCCAACATTGAAGAAAAATGAAAAGAGGAAAACCATGTACAGAGGTTCCTACACCTACAGTAAGACTTGCACCCACGGTCAAGTGGTCCAGGAAGCACATTTAATGTTCTTAAATTCTTTGGAAGCCCCGATAACTTGCAAAGAGATGAGCATCCTATTAAATAAAGCTCCTTAAGCTTATAAAGATGTTGAAAATATGACGGAACTTCAATCAAACGTGCACAAAACATAAAATTCATGCACTCAATATTTGGAGCCTGGGAGAGATCTGGAACTTGAGTAAGCTGCATGGAGCCTGAGAGATCGATACTTTTTAATTTATCTAAATGCTGTAACAAAAGAAATTTACCAAGTATCAGTACTTGAAATGCATGTATGCACTTTGACTCAAGGCACAAAATGTATAAACAAATAAAAAGAAATCATAAAAATCTCCATTTTATTTTAGAATAAACGACGTTAACCATACCGGGGCACCTTCCCAAAGTTTTTCAAGTTTGCTTCCCCGCATCTCAAGTACAACGAGCATCTCTGCACTAAAATTTGTTGACAAGGATTTTAAAGGATATGCACGCCAATTGAGATACCTGAGCATATTGGGGAAAGCAGGGGGACCTTGAGGAAAGCATAATTTGCTACCATTGATTTTGAGCATTCTTAGTTCGCACATCTTTAAAAAGGATGTAGGCAACAAGCTAATCTCGCGATTAAAATTAGACGTATCCAAGGATATTCCTTTAACGTTTTCAGCTCCCTGACAAATTAGGACAAACTGCCTTAATAAACGTCTATAGTTTAAGGGGGGAGAAAAAACAAAACAAAACAAAAGAACGTAAAAACTCTTTATCAGAAGAATATTCTAAAGTACCAGACACTAAGTACTTACTTCATCATTATTTAGCGCACGATAAATATCATCGGCAATCCATAACATGCTGCCTTTTCTGGAATCTTGAATAGTAGATTGCGGGCGAACAATTTCAAAAGCCATCATTTGTAGCAAATCATACATTTGTATTTCGTTCAGGTACGCACATATAGTTATTAGTGCCTTATCAATAAGAACTCTTATTCCAGCAGCTGCAAAGTAACCACAAGCATCTAGTATTTCTTCTACAAGATTTCTATACTCCCCCTTAAAGAAACATGCGATGTAAAGAAATATATCTTTTTCAGCATCATCTAGCGAATTGTAGCTTATTCTCAATGCACTTTGGATTGTTTTGTCGGGAATCTTTTGTATATTATCCAATATATATTTCCATTCTTTTATGTTTCGAGAATAAAGATGGCGGCCCAAAACTATAAGAGCCAATGGAATACCTCCAGCATAATCGACTACCCTTCTTGACAAATGTTCTTTCTTTGTGGTAGGAGACTTCCGTTTAAAAGCATGTAGAGAAAAAAGTTCAAGAGCTTCAACATAATCTAATCTCTCTACTTCAAACAACATGTTACTTACTCCAATACTCCTAAGCACTTGCCGATCTCTACTTGTTACGATTATTCTACTCTCACGACCAAACCAGGAACGACTAAATAACTGATCTAGTTGTTGGGGATCATCTACATCATCAAAGACAATTAGAACCTTTTTATGGCGAAGCCTATCCTTTTCAAACTGCAATGAGATGCTATGCATATCACTTCCAACCTTCAACAACTCAGAAAAAAGTTTGTTTCTCAAATGATCCGGCTCATGCTTCTTTGATTCCTCTCGAATATTTTCGAGAAAACTACAAGCATCAAATTGAGAAAATAATCGGTAAAATACAACACGAGCAAGGGTTGTTTTACCTATGCCACCTACGCCCCAAATACCTATGGTAAAAACATCTGATGCACCAATGTGCAACAGCGATTCAATTTCTTCAATGCGTTTAGTAACTCCAACCAGGCCCTGCAAATAATCATCCTTTGCCACAGGCATATCGTTGAGTTTCTTAATCACAACATTAACAATTGTGTCGATCAATTTTGATTCAGACCTGCCAATACGTACACATCCATAATGCAGAAATGAGAAATCAAGAAAGCGGTTACCTATATGTCTTTCATGTTAATGAGATTACTTCTAAATGTCAAAAGATTCCAAAATTACTAAAAGAATATTTCTCTGAGAGTAATAATATTGAACCACGCATAGATTAGAAATCAATTACAACATCCACAATTGTGTCAACTAAATTGGTTTCGGACCAGCCAATGTGCACCGAGTAATAATATTGAACCACGCATAGATTAGGAATCAATTACGACATCCACAATTGTGTCAACTAAATTGGTTTCGGACCAGCCAATGTGCACACATACGTAAGACAAAGGTAGCTTACAAACACATACAGCATGCAAAAGATTACACTAAAAAAATAAATAAATAAATAACTTTAACAATTAACGAGAATTGATTAGTGCATTGTCAGTCAATCCACAGTTGATACACTTTTCTATACATTATTTTATTAGCGATGAAAAAAAAAAAAAAAAAAAAAGTAAGGGAAAAAGAAACAAAAACTGCAAAATAACTTCACGGTCAAATTGAACAGTGAGAAAGTAGCTCTTTCTTGTAGCTATATATATGTTATGGATAGATATGTTGATATAAATTTTTTAAAAAAACATTTTAACGCAGTTAGCAGTATACATTTATACTTACTGTGACTACAATAAAGTACTATGCTTGCTTTTCAAACAAAAAGATTCCGACAACAAAATGAAAAACATATTGCAGTAGCCTTTTAAGGGAGAAGGGATGATCTGTCATGCATGAGTTAAGTAAACAGAGTAACTACAAAGATTGTAAAGATTGTACTGTGATTACCTAAACTCCTTTGATGCCCAGCCAGAGAGATCGGCTATTCTCATCAAAGCCTCTCTCCATGCTTGCAATTTGTTCTCCTCCCCCTCAAAATGTTTTTCAAGTTTAGCAAATGCAACCGCATAATCTCCTTGTAGTTTCCGTACATCTGATGGATTGACATTGTAAAAGACGGGTAGAATTTTGCCCTGTCCATCCGTTTTCTTGCATCCAAGAATGTGCACGAGTTCCTCTAAGCAACGTCTTGAGGAAGCATAGTCTTTTGATAAAATAATTAGACAAAGTTTTGATTCTTCAATTGCTTTCAAAAGTGTGGGAGGTATCCCATTTTCCTTCTCAAGATGATCCTCATTATCTGTTAAGGCTTCGATTTTCGCTTGACATAAAGCACTATGAAGATGGCTTGTAAAATTAGAGCCAGTATCCTCACATTTAAAACTAATATATACATCATATTTAGTCTTCATAAATGTGCTCCGAGCAGAGGAACCCCCAGCAGCCGTACTTGTACTCATCTTTTGGATCAAAAACCCACTTCCTCTGCATAAATACACATAATTCGATCACAAGTCAAATTCGCCTGGGAGTAGTTTGTATCTTTATTGACAAGTGATATATGAGGTAATGAACACATGCTCATAACTATAATACCAAGGTGAAATACTTGATGATCTTTCCTAGAAAATATTGTAATCTTTTGAAGGTCAACATCACCAACAATATATGAGATCAAGGCAGAAACTACAAGAATAGGGGTTATCCCAGACCCATACAATTCAAAATGGCACAACTAATCCCCGAACCTTTCATCAGTTGCAAACTTGGTACTTTTACCAATGAAATGTCACATGGCATTCCATTAATTAAAGTATCAAAATTGCAACTCATGAAAAGTTTGGGAGCTTGTTGTGCCATTTTTAGGGGACAAAATTTGAAATTAACCCAAATCTTTTTTAGCGTTAATTTCAATTTTAGCCCTAGTCCCTCTGTAAAAGAACTATTAGAAAATGGACAAAATGAGAATGTGAGGGTTAGAGTTGTTTAAATTGCCATTAATAACACCCTTTGGCCTGAATTAACTTATTTGGAAAGAAGACATTTTGGTTTGCCCTCCTTTTTCCATCAACAATGCAATTTGGGAATTTAGGGATTTTGCCTCAAAATCAGATAATGAAGATAAAATGCATTATGAATGGCATTTTTTAACGACCCCCAATGCATCACTTGCGCCTCACATGCTCATTTTGTCCACTTTTTAACAGATCTGTCACGGAGGGACTAATAGTGCAACGTTTGTAAAGGTCGGGTGCAAGTAGTGAGAAATTTGAAAGTTCAAGGGGCAAAGCAAGACAATGAGTATTTCTCAGAGACCGGAGTCTAAATTGAAATTAACCAACTTTTTTAAGAAAAATCAAAATAAGAGGAAAAGAAAAACTTTTGAATAATCTTTCCCTTTTTTTAAGGAAACAAACCATTTGAAAAAAAAAATAACAGCAAAACATCTTTTCTGTAAAAGAAAAAATTAAGCACATAATAAATAAGGGGGTTTAGCACAATTGCCCCCCGAGCTTGTCGTGGTTTAGCAAATTGCCCCCTAACTTTTAATTTTGATAATCAACCTCTCGAACTTGTAAATTTGTTGCAATATGCCATATTTTACTAAATTTGCTCAAATTTTGTATTAGATTTAAGGGATTAAAAAATTGAGAAATTGAAAGATTTGTGTTACATTTAAATTAGGATGTTAAAATTTTTCATTGAGCGTACTTTTTAGACACTAATTTAACACAATCATCATCAAAATGGTGCATATTGCAACATTACAAGTTGAGGGCTAACTTCTGCTAAAAGTAAAAATTTATGAGACAATTTACTAAACCACGAAAGTTAGGGGACCAAAAGTGCTAAAAACCCTAAATAAGGAGAGCAAATAAAAGATGAAAGAAAAAATGGAAATTAACAAAAATGCTAGAGCACTGTATAAGTTCTTGTCTATATATTTATAACCACGCAATTTGTCCAGAATGATTGCTCTTATTTTTTTCAATCAACGTAAATGATACTAAAAGTGATATATAATTACTCCAAGAGAACAAAAAATGAAGTCAATGCGCTCATAATCGATCCAAGACAAAGAAGAAATGAAGTAACAACTTCAAAACAAAAAGTCAAGAAGTAACGAGAAAATAGAGAAATAATAATTCTCAAAATATATATATATAGAAATAATAATACATAACAACCAAAGTATCATAATCGATCCTATATAAAGATGCTTGAGAGAGAGAGCGAAAGAGAACATACAGATCTGATCGCCGGCGACTGGAAAAGAAAACAGAAATCGTTATATTTTGGTGCTGATCTTGAGAAATCTTTTCTTTTATTCTTCTGGGAAATTTCCGGGAAGGTAACAAGGAATTGAAAAGGGCATAGCCAATAAAGATAGTTCGTCATAGATTTTTATATTTTTATATTTTTATATTTTTTATTTTTTTTGAGTAGTTCGTCATAGAAAATTACGATAGGAGAGTGAGACGAAAAATTAAAAATTATTAAAAGATACCAAGTTCGACATCATAATACAGTTTTTTTTAGATATAAAGTATTTTATACTACGGTCAACACTATAGTCTCGTTCCTTTGCTGATTCGAGTTTAAAATTTGAATTGAAATGTAATTTTATATGAAAACTTTTTACTGTAGCAAAAAAGTTAGATGTCACTGTTTGTGAGAGCTTTTTACTGTAACAAAACTCAAATTCTAAACTCGAATCAGCGAAACGAATAATTCTCGGGATCTTCTCACTATAACTTCATTTTTATTCGTTAAATTTAGTTAAATAATGTCAAAATAAAGTAAAAAATATATGTCCATAATAAACAATTTTTAATAGAGTATAGTTGAAATATAAGATGTCTTTATAGTCATTTCTCTTAGTACCTAACATGGAATTATCCCAAAAACTTTTGCTTCTTTTTCTTTCTTTTTGTTTTTGTTTTTACTTTTTTTTTTTTGTTGACGGCGCTCCTCTCCGGTGAAACTTTCCCACTTCTTCTATGAATTTTGATTTCCTTTATCTTAAGACGACGTTTGGTTGGAGGATTCAAACCATGTGATTCGAACCATTTTCGATTTACGTGAATTTTTTGTGAGAAAAAATACTGTAACGAACCACGAATCATGATTCGAATCAGGGAACGAATCCCTCTACCAAACATCCCAATTCGATTTTGTGCAGACGTGTGAAATTCTTCTAAAGTCTACTTTTGGACTGTTTTTAAAATTTTATACTCAAGTTAAATCTTCATGAAAAAAAATAAAAAAAAAAGATAAATGGATAATTAATGTGTATGAATATAGACTTTTATCTAATATTTTTAATAAATATTCTTCCATTAGTATAATTATTTGACTAAAAATATTATAAATTAAGAATAAAGGTATTTTTGAAAAAACAAAATAATCCTTACCACAATAAGGAGGAATGGGAACGTGCCCAGAAGGCCCATTGACTTACTTGGTTAGTACTGGTAGTTTAACAAGCTTTGTGTAACGTTTTGAGCCCATAAGGCCCATAGGTCTTGCTTGAGGAATTAGTCCCGCCTTCGGGTTACTAGAGTAATGGGAAAGAAGATAAATAACCTTTAAAATGCAAGGATTAAGATTGTTATTCTTTATTATTAATTTATAACTTTTTTAGTTAAATAATTATACTAGTAAAAGGGTAATAATTAAGAATGGAGGGTAAAAATCCATACTTACACTTTTAAAAGTAAATTCTACAATTTTTTCTTTAAGGTAATGTTAGCTTGTCTTAAGAGAGATGGTAGTAACTTAGTGGAAAATGTTATTGGTAATAGAATTTTAATTTATGAAACTAACAGAATGTTATTAGAAATAAACAAAATTTTAACCTCTCTATTATTGGTAATAGATTTTAACTTATAAAATTAATTAAATAAATAGTAGATTTTAAAACTAAATAGCATTTTACTTAGTAAATGAATCATTTACGGATTTACCGCGTAAATAGTTCATTTATGACTAGCAAAAATATTTTTTTACACAAAAACTTTATTTTTGTGACTAGTAAAAAGATTTTTTCATTTAAATAAAGATTTTTTACCATATAAAATTGTAGATTTTACAACTATTTTAAGTAAATAGTAATTTACTATGTAAATATTCTTTTTACGACTAGTAAAAAGTTATTTCACGTAAATTTTCTTTCTAAGACTAATAAAAAATATTTTTACGTAAATAAAAAATTTTTACCACGTAAATAATTTTTTATCAATCGTAAATATTTTATGTACGTGATAAACTATTACTTACTTTAAATAGTTTTTACATCTATTATTTACTTAATTTAGTTTCATAAATCTGCTATTTATTACACTTTCGGGTTTCTATATACAAGCGGCAATGTTGGCGCACATGCAATGCAATTGGTTGAAAAAATGGATAATTATGGCTATCGAAAAAATACCATGACTTATACTATATTGATATTGAAGAAAAGGCTTCTCACCAACGCATTCACATATTGCTAATTCTTGCTTGAGGCTGCTTTCTAGTCCTGATACTGAAAATCTCAGTCACTTTTCTAATATACATATATATATATACATATATATATACATATATATACACACACAAATACATATATGAACAACGTTGAGAAGAAAAATATATTATTAGCACCCTCACTTGAGTTCCAATCCATACGAACACACTTATTTATACTTTTTTTTTAATGAAAACACTTATTTATAATTTAATGAAACAGAAAATAAGCCTGGAAACAGAGCTAACAGAAGCTCCAAACTAGAAACTGAAGCAAAAATAAGCAGGAGAGAAACACGTCGCAATTAGAGTAATAATGATGATGATGATGATGATGATAAAGAAGTACTCACCCCATCAAAAGAAATACAATCAAATTTGAATATAAATTTTGCAAAAATCACAAGAAAGTGACACTGACAACCAAAAGAGCAAGCTCGGTAGCTTTGTGCCAATTGAGTCGAGTAGCCCAACAAGCTCATTGGCACAACACGAAAAATTTTAGACCAGACACGGCACGGTACCAAATTATGATGGGTTAGGATAAGAACGACATGAGGTGATGGGTCGTGTCGAACTCATAGCTTTAACCATTATAGATCTGACATGATACGGCATGAAGATAAGCATGAGCATGACACGATTGACATCTCTATTTAAGCACACCCAAAGGCTTCATCATCTCTGCAGCTATACTTGGGGACACGAGGACAAATTCCCTTAATTCCAGCCCTTGATCAAATTCACAAAAGCCCAAGACAGCATCGTCAACAACAGAACCAAGCATTATTATTATTTTGACAATCAACATAAATGGAGGCATCATCAACAACATGGCTTTTGAACCACTTCAACCGCCGCAAAATTTGTTTTCTAAATTACCTCATATATGGTATCGGAAAAGTGGGGTTTTTATGTCCTGATTCTCTTAGGGAGTGGTTCCTTGCTTTCTTCTTGATCTGATTCAGAATGATTAGGGAGTGATTCCTTGCTTTCTTCTTGATCTGATTCAGAATGAATGCTTTCATCTTTGCTCGATTCAGACTCTCCATCATCGTTGTTAGTTTGTTCTACAAAACCAAATCTCTCTGCCTCTTGAGTATATAAGAAGTGAACCCCGCACTTGTTGAGTTTTGCAAATCCCTTACTTTCTTCAGACAAATCAAAGGAGAAAGTTGCTGTAGCATTATTCCCATTTGCATCAAATGTTTCTTCGTCTGCTTTGAGGTACTCACTCCATTCTTCAGAAAAATAGTCAAAATCAAGTGTGGCGGCACGGGGGAACTTATTCCCATTTGCATCAAGTTTCCCATTGTCCAATATAAGGAACTCACCATAAGTATTGTCCATAAAAAGAAACACGTGTTTGGAATTATTCACAGAGTCATAATGAAGATCTTCGCGAATTAAATCCTCGAAAAGAGTAGTACAACATTCACGAATACCATGAACATGATATTCATATGAAAGATCAAATTGCACAACTCTTCTCTGACTCCATGAATCTCCATTAGGGAACGTGTAAACGGACTCCCAATAAACTTCTAAAGAGATCGGTTTAGTCGTTGAGAGGTCATCGAACTCAACAATGACGCAAGCGGCAAGACCCAAGTAGCTGTTGTTATACCATTGATCAGGATGTGGAACGTTCATACATATCGAAGATTCCTCACTCTTATGACTAAACCACCTCGGAATTTTGCTTTCTGACCAGAAAATTTTATTATATACCTGTACATACCATAGTAGAGAGAGAACCAACATTATTATTTTAACACTCCCACTAAATCTTAACTTGTAATTAAAAAGAAGAGAGACATACCCGCGCCAACGTGTCACCTTCATCTTCATCAAGAGCATTATGATAGAGTCCGTATTTATTTACTAAAGTTGCCAAACGCAAAATTCTAAACAGTGCTTCATCCATAAGAGCATTGTGTGCGTTCTCATCCAACATTCCGCAACCCCAAAATTTGAACTCTTCCCACTTATATCGTCTATTATGGAGATCATCCCAATTTTGTTTGATCGAAGTTACTGAATTTGACATCGTCTTCAACGAGGCGCAACACGTCGCATCAAGAAATATTAGAGACGACGAAGGAAGTATTGGTAATGATTTAAGATTTCGACAAAAAGCAATTTTGAGTTTGCGTAAAGACCTTAAACAATGGATGCTATCAGGGAGAAACTCAAGATTTTGGCAAAATTTCAGGCTTAATGTTTTGAGCCCGGATAAGTTGCTTATTGACGAAGGCAGCTCTTTAATTGCCGCAAAATCTAATTTGAGAGTCCTTATGGACTTGATGAGCTCTGGGATGATTGGAAATCTTTCCAACTTTGATGAAAACTCAAAAGAGGGATACCATGTAATGTTGTTGCTACAAGAACAATCGGTTTGATCAAGCTGAATTGGTCCAGTGAGCACTTTTAATGTTCTTAAATTCCTTGGAAGCGCTGATAGCTTGCAAAGGGATGGGCAGCCTATGAGAGAAAGCTCTTTAAGCTTCTCAAGATGTTCGATATATGACGGAGCTTCGATCAAACGTACGCAGTACTGAAGTGTTATGCTCTCAAGATTTGGAGAAAGTGAGAGATCTGGAACTTGAGTTAGGTACATGGAGCCCGACAGATCGACTCTTTTTAAATTATCTAAATGCTGTAACAAAACAGATTCAGCAAGCATCACTTAGAATATTGTACATAATCAAGGCATGATGCGTAAAAGTAAAGGATAAATTGTGAAAGTCTCCTTTCTATGTTAGAACTTTTCCCAAATGACATGTTCTTTCTGAAAATAAAAATTCAATATGGCATAATTTCTTCTTCTTTTTTTTTTTTTTTTTCAAACTCACCCCCTATCATTAAGATAAGTTTGGAGAAGTTAATTAAAATGTCAGATTTACCCTTTCCAAACTAAGGGAAATACATAAAGAAGTTGAGCTTATGTTTTCATGATTTTTTTATAAGCAATTTATTTCCATACTTATTTTGCTATTTAAATACCCAAAAACCTTTTCACAACAAAATACCCATTAGTTCTCTTGCTTTACGGTAAAATCGACATTTCATAAATTCTATTTCCACCAAGACCGCTTGGAGGAGGAACTTGAAAATGAAATCAATTCATATGGTATTGAACTATAAAGTTATTTGTGAAAAATTATTGAAAGTTAATGGAAGCTTTTTTTTTTAAACCACAAAGAAGTGAAGTTAAGCATACCGGGGCACCTTCCCAAAGTTTTTCAAGCTGGCTTCCGCGCATATCAAGTGCAACAAGCATCTCGGCTGTAAAATTTGTTGACAATGACTTTAAAGGATATGAATGCCATTCGAGATATTTGAGCGCGTTTGGAAAGATGAGAGGACCATGAGGAAGGCATAGCTTGCCACCAGTGATTTTGAGCAATCTTAATTCACACATCTTTGAAAAGGTTGTGGGCAACAAGCTAATTTCTCGATTAAAAATTGACGTATCCAAAGATATTCCTGTAATATTTTCAATTCCCTGAAAGTTAAGAACAAAGCATAAATGAGCATATATATTGTTTACAAAAAATAAAAAAATAAAAAACTATTCATGAGAAGTTTAAATTATTTCCTGAAGAATAATCTAGAGTAGCTTTAAGGACTTACTCTATCATTTTTTAGTGCATGATAAAAATCGTCTCCAGTCCCTATCCTACTACCAATTTTGGGATCTTGATTAGTAGACTGGGGGCGCGCAATCTCAAAAGCCATCATTTGTATCAAATCATGCATCCATATCATATTTGAATCCTGAGAAACAATTAGTAGAGCCTTGTCAATGAGAACACTTATTCCTGCAGTCGCAAAGAGATCGCAACCATTTAGTATTTCTTCTATACGATCTCTATTCTCTCCTTTGAAGAAAAACGCGATGTCAAGAAATATATCTTTCTCTGTCTCCTCAAGTGAATCATAGCTTATTCTCAACACACTCTGAATTTTCTTGTCAGGAATCTTTTGCAGTTTATCCAATGTACTTTGCCATTCTTTTATGCTTTTAGAATAAACGTGGCGGCCCAAAACTATAAGCGCCAATGGAACACCTCCGGCATATTTTGCTATCCTTCTTGACAACTCACCTTTATCAGCGGTAGGAGAGCTCTTTTTAAAAGCATGGAGAGAAAAAAGTTCAAGAGCTAGAAAATAATCTAATCTCTCTACCTTGAACGTTCTTCTTACTCCAATATTCCTTAGAACTTGTTTATCTCTACTTGTTATAATAATTCTGCTTCCAGGACCAAACCACGAAGCATTGTACAAATGTTCCAGTTGTTCAGGATCATCTACATCATCAAAGACAATTAGAACCTTTTTACGGCGGAGCCTATCTTTTTCAAACTGCAGTGTGACGCTGTGAATCCTAACCTTCAACAATTCACGAAAAAGTTTATTTTTAAAATGATCTGGCCCACGCTTCTTCGATTCCTCACGGACATTTTCGAGAAAGCAGCAAGCTTCAAATTGAGAAGATAACCGGTAAAATACAACACGAGCAAGGGTTGTTTTACCTACACCACCTGTGCCCCAAACACCTATACTATGAACGTCTAATGAGCCAATATGTAACAGTGATTCAATTTGCTCGATGCGTTCGGTAACTCCGACCAGGCCCTGTAAATAATCATCCCTTGACACAGATGAATCATTGAGTTTCTTAATCACCACATCAACAATTGTGTCGATTAAACTTGATTCGAACCTGCCAATGGTACACAGCCATAATACAAAGGTATAGTGATTAGTAACCGACATTAATTGAAAATTCAAGAAAATATTCAATTATCTAATATATTTCATCCCAATCAGAAAGTTTTTAATTACATGTCAAAACATACAAATTAACTTAATACTTCTCTTTAAATATATGTTTCTAATGCAATGAATATTGTTCGTTACCATAAAAAAATGGTAATGCTGAGACTTTATTCTCACTCGGGTAAATAATATCTTTACCATTTATTAAAATAAAACCTTTATGATATACAAGCAAACGATAATACAATTATAAAGTTCAAAATATCTTTTATTCTCACTTCAATAAGTTTTCCTCTCATTAAAAAAAATATTCTGCAGTGTTATATTATATACCCACAAATATATTTTTTAGCGGCAGAGCTAGAAATTTTGTTTAAGAAAGCGTGAATTAATCTTTTTTTTTTTTTTTGGCTTCTTTTGAATGAAGTTGCAAAAGGCTAAGGAGCCTCTTGGCCGGCCCACCGCCCGGGTTTAAGGTGGCTCTGCCCGTGTATGTGCACGTAAAGCCATGATAGCATTACAGAGATTGTGTTTCATACAAAAATGATCAAACAACAAAAGTAAACATATGAGCAGTACGAATCCTTTTTTTTTTCTTTTTTTCAAGAAAAGGGGCGATTGTGATTCTAATCCGTCAATGCTGATTTAAATAATTAGAACAAGTTCAAATATTATACTATGATTACCTAAACTCGTTTGAAGCCCAACCGGGTAGATTGGCTACTCTCATCAAAGCCTCTCTCCATGCTTGCAATTTCTCTTCCTCGAAACGTTCCTCAAGTTTAGCAAATGCAACTTTATAACTTCCATGAACTTTCTGCACATCAGATCGATTGACATTGTAAAAAACAGGTAGAACTTCGGCTTGACCATCTGTTTTCTTGCATCGAAGAATGTGCTCGAGTTCTTCTAAGCACCATCTTGAGGAAGCATAGTCTTCTGACAAAACAATTATACAAAGCCTTGATTCTTCGATTGCTTTCAAAAGTGTAGGCGATATCTCACTTCCCTTCTCGAGATCATCCTCATCTATGAAGGATTTGATTTTCGCCCGACATAAAGCAGTATGAAGATGGCTTGTAAAATTAGGACGAGTATCTTCACCTCTAAAACTGATAAACACATCGTATGTAATCTTTTTCAAAATGGTGTGAGAAGAAGAAGAAGCTCCAGCATCCGTACTCATGATGGTCAAAACGTCAAAAATGATGAAAAGGTTACTTCGTTATAAATTCTGCACAGAAGGATACATATATGTATTCAGATCAAAAGACAAATTTTCCAAATGACTGGATAGTTTGTTCCTTCCTTTGATTACAAGTGATATGCTAGCAATGAATTCATGGTTAAAATGAGGATAACAGATCTAAACTCATAATATTAATATTGGAGTGTGAAATATACGATTATCTTCACAAGACATTTCAGTCTATCAAGGGAAAAACTACCAGATTCTTTTTTAAGAATGGGGGGAGAAAATGAGCCAGAAACTTCAACAAGCTTTCTCCTTTTTTTTCCCTATTTTTTAATCCAGAAACTAAATAGCGATAAATACTTTCAGGAAAATAAATAAAAAAAATAAACAGAAAAGATAATCAGGTCATGTAATCATGAAGGACCCTTAAAAAATAAGCTGATTGGATGAAAACTATTCTTGGGTTAACATCGGGTAATACTGAGTAAATTGAGGAACAAAAGTGAGAATCACGTGAAATAGTTCTGAGTATTAAGAAACAAATTAATTACTAATCAGATAAAAAATTAATAAATGCTTGTAAAAGAAGAAGAGAGAAACAGAGAAGCGTACCTGCAATATAAACATAGATCTATCTATTTATAAACAAACAGAGATCTTTTCCATCTATTTATAAAAACAAAGTTTGGTATTCCAAAGGTTTCTTTCTTTTTATCTTCCAGGAAATTGGTACAAGGAAATCATGAAAAGTGAATAGCCAATAATGCTATCTTGTTCAAAAAGAAAAAGAACAAAAAAAAAAAAGAAGGAAAAGTGGTGAAACGAAAAGAAATACCACTTAGGAGACATATGGGACAGGCATCACATGAAGAATCTAGTAGTAGCTAAGTTATCTCACAATAATGTTACGTTGTTTCTGCATATGTTCCTGACTTTAACTGCTACAAGTGGGCGTCGAATATTTCCGAAGATGTGTTGATATCATCGGCATCGATCAGCAGGGCGCGTTTTGTAGCTACAGGCTCGACGACGACGAAGCGCGCGCGGTGGAAAAAACTATGGCATTGGAATATCCTCCCGAGGCATAAACGAAGCGCGCGGTGGAAAAAACTATGGCATTGGAATATCCTCCCGAGGCATAAATTCATGTTGTTCTTGCACAGCAATATTAACTATAAAGTTTGCTTTATTTTCATCTATAAAAAAAATGGTCCTTTCTGCGATTGGGACTCTGACGAAGACTTGTATGCATAGTTTGTTGTTTTTGTTGGCGGAAGTTAGCATTATCTTTTGATTTAAAATCTATGTCCATTTATTTACCAAATTATACTTTGTTATTAGTTTTTGTCCTGCCGTCCGCTTATTGTGGTTTGCATACGTTTATGTCTTATTTCTATGTTATTCAAATTCAGAACTTTGTTTTCTTAATCAGCAGATAACAAATTTGTCTGTATTTTCAATAAAAATATATTTTTTCTTTTAGATTGGGTTTCGTGTAGATGTATGAAATTCTTCCAAGACTTTAATTTATTGATAAATCAAGATGGTGTTTGTAATTTTGTATTTTTGCATTTTATTTCTTTAATTAAGAATATGTATGTAAGTCAACGAGGATTTTGTTAAATTGAATGACGTGTCTTGGACTGCAACCTACCGAAGACCATGCCTTTCCTTTGTATTACTCCCCTTTGAACTTAATAGGGTTTTCGTAAGTTGTGCTATGAATTTTTAATTTTGACAATGTTCTTCCGGCTTATAAAGTTGTTCCAATGTACCACATCTTGATAATAATTGTGTGAAATTAGTGATGAAAAAACACGTTTCACAAAAAAATAAAAAAAATAAAAAATATTGAGTGAAACCCGTTAATTCTATTTTTATTTTAAAATAAAAAAGATAAGTAAACATAAATTAGTCTTAAATATTAATGGGCGAAGGTTTCTTTTAAAAAAAAAAGGAAAAAAATTGGGAGTGGGGGATTTGAAATCTCCACCTTGTAGTAGAGTGCAGAGTGAAACTATTGTTAGACTATGCCGCAACTACATTGCTTTTTTTTTTTTTCCTTCTTTCCACTACACATTAAATAAAAGAATAAACAAAAAGAACAAAAGTATAATCATGGGCAGCGTTAAAGTGACAGTATTCATCCACTTGTTTAAGATGAGAAGTCAATTGGTATTTTATAATTCAATAACGTGTTTTGGGCTCTGAACCCATTGAAGGATTCAGACCACGCCTTCCCTCTCGGTGTAAATACCGTTGGTTGTTTTCCTTTGTATATTAATTCTAAGACACGTTTAGTTTATTAATTTGAGTTTTTAATTTAAGTTAATATGTGATTTTATGTGAGAATTTTTTATTATAATAAAAAGTTAAATATGATTATTTTTAAGAATTTTTTACTGTAATAAAATTTAAATTTTAAACTCAAATAGATAAAATGAACGGACATAATTATTTATCAAATACTTTGTTATTAGTTTTGCACGTTTCACAAAAAAATAAAAAAAAATAAAAAATATTGAGTGAAACCCGTTAATTCTATTTTTATTTTAAAATAAAAAAGATAAGTAAACATAAAATTAGTCTTAAATATTAATGGGCGAAGGTTTCTTTTAAAAAAAAAAGGAAAAAAATTGGGAGTGGGGGATTTGAAATCTCCACCTTGTAGTAGAGTGCAGAGTGAAACTATTGTTAGACTATGCCGCAACTACATTGCTTTTTTTTTTTTTCCTTCTTTCCACTACACATTAAATAAAAGAATAAACAAAAAGAACAAAAGTATAATCATGGGCAGCGTTAAAGTGACAGTATTCATCCACTTGTTTAAGATGAGAAGTCAATTGGTATTTTATAATTCAATAACGTGTTTTGGGCTCTGAACCTATTGAAGGATTCAGACCACGCCTTCCCTCTCGGTGTAAATACCGTTGGTTGTTTTCCTTTGTATATTAATTCTAAGGGACGTTTAATTTATTAATTTAAGTTTTTAATTTAAGTTAATATGTGATTTTATGTGAGAATTTTTTATTATAATAAAAAAATTAAATGTGATTATTTTTAAGAATTTTTTACTGTAATAAAATTTAAATTTTAAACTCAAATGGATAAAATGAACGGACATAATTATTTATCAAATACTTTGTTATTAGTTTTGTCCTGCCGTTCGCTCATTGTGGTTCGCGTGCGTTTGTCCTATTTCTGGGTTATTCAACTTTGGAAGTTTGTTTTCTAGACTGATGAAAGTGAATTAGACCCTTTTTATTTTACTGATTTAAATTTTATTATAGTAAAAAAATTTTAAAAATAATCACATTTAATTTTTTTTATTATAATAAAAAAGTTTTACATAAAATTATATCTTAATTTAAATTAAAAATTTAAATTACCAAACTAAACAAGCCATTAATTTTTTAGAAGAGCACACGATTTACTGGTTCTGTGAATGCCTATTCTTAGTACTTTTTCTCAGGTGTAATTGCACTTTTTGTTTTCTCCAATTACTTGTTTACTTTTAGGTGCAATAGCATACATTTTTACTTGGTTTGTACATGGTGCTCTGGATCTGCGTGAAAGCTAATTTCCGCTTTTTTCCGTCAATTTTTATGGGGTTTCGTGCTAATGTATGAAATTCTTCAAAGTTTATATTGATTGACAAACTTTTTTTGATGTCTTTTTTTTTAAGACACTTATCAACTGTTAAATTTATATTAAATTTAATTAAAAATTAAATTAGATTAAAAAATAATACATATTTAACATTTAATAAACTGTGAGTACTGGTATTCTCTAAAAAAAAAGAGAGGACACTAATAAACTCCCTTATTAATAAATTATGATGATTTTTTTAATTTTGTTTTTTTTTTCAATTTATCTCTTAAAAATATGTAGTCCACGGGGATTTTGTTTAATTGAATAACGTGTCCAAGTGTCCAGAACATTCCTTTTCTTTGTATTAAATATTGGGATTTTTTTTACATTTACCTTTTGAACTTAGCGTTTTGACAATTTACTCCATGAGCTATTAATTTTTATCTAATTAGTTAATTTGTTTCTCAAAACCTAAATCTAATAAAATAATTAGAGTAAAATTGGTAAAATAAGACACATTACAATTAATGTACAAAATACCCTAAATATTAATGGAGGGATGGCTTTTTTTAACCCCCTTTCCTCTGTGCATAAAGTCATAATTAATAACAAACATTAATTAAAAGAATAAACAAAAAGCAAAAATATCATCATGTGGAGCGTGAAAATGACATTGCTTTCCCTTTGTTTGTGGTGGAAGTCAACTCGATAACGTGTTTTGGACCGGTCTCGTTCGTTTCGCTTATTCGAGTTTAGAATTTGAGTTTTGCTATAGTAAAAAGCTCTAAAAAATAATCACATTTAACTTTTTTACTACAGTAAAAAGCTCTCACATATAATTAAATCTCAACTCGAATTCTAAACTCAAATCAGCGAAACGAACAAGTTTTGAAGGATTCATAGTATGTTTACTTATTAACATTGAGAAATAGAAGTGAGGAATGAGAGTTAATTTTATGTTTATTTATTTTTTATCTTAAAATGAGAGTGGAATTGATGGGCCCACTCAAATTTAGAATTGAGGGATGA